GGGAGGGTGTCAAGGAGGCGTTGTTTGTGCGTGCTGTGCTTTCGTTTGTCGCCCCAGAGACCAGTGGTAGCAGCATCAAGGTCCTTGAGGACAACCAGGGGGCCATAGCGTTGGTGCAGAACCCCCTCAGCTCAGGTCGCACGAAACACATCGACGTGAGGTATCATTTCATCCGAGGATTGTTTAGGTCGGGGGATATTTCGGTCAAGTTTGTTCCGACAACGGAGCAACACGCGGACCTCCTTACCAAGGCCCTTAGCAGGGTCAGTCTGCAGTACCACCGGCGCAAGCTGATGAATTTGCCGGAGTAGCTGTAGCAGTTTCGAGCACTTGGGAGAGGCCATGTTTTCCATGCGGGGAAAGGCGCATAACTGTTGCGGTCTGTGCACCACTGGCAGGAGGTGGGGACGTTGGGAGACAATCGTCCGGGGGAACGTAGTTCCTCGCGTTCTTGTCTTCGCCTTGACCTTTCTAATAAGTGCGGTCGTTGTGATCCGCTGTGATAGCGACGTTTTTTTGTGGTGGTAGGGTTATTCTTGAGGGGCTCTGCCCGGACGCCGGGTTTCCCCTCCATATTACCATGTTGGTATTTTCTGATGTATGAAGGGGCGTTCTTGCCCAATTTATTATTGTCACTTGCGTGAAGAACCAGGGAGGTTGTTCGTGGGTCTGCGAACATTGGTGTTGGATCCATGTGGTGGAGGATTTTGTGTCACGCAGACTGGTAAGATTACCGTTTGGTAGCGGGCACCGCGTTGATTCACGGGGCCCCTCCTTGCTGTGGGAGCCGCTCTTTGAGCACTCCCTCGTCCGTGTAAAGGACGGTCGTCGACCTCTCGTGAAGTTAATACATCACCAAAACAGTCTCACCCGATAAATAAGTGGCGTAGGCAGCAAACATATGCTGTTGCAGTCTATCAAGTCCCCACACAAACAGAAGTGTACGAATAGGGAGTAAGGGCTAGAATTAATCCCAGTCATTCACACAGCCGTTTCCCGACCGAAGTAGCAAGGGTATTATTCCGATGGGGTTGCACGCACGTACGCACGCCCAGACATACATGTGAAAGACGGAGCAAAACCTCGGAAACTTAAGGAACCACCTCCACAATAAATCGTGCACAGCGCCGTACAACATACATCATTTAGAATTGAAAAAACGTATTTCGAGGTCAACACTAGTCCAGTGTTGACCAAGACCGGTCGCCCCGGTGGTCTAGTGGTATTTTTTTTTTTTGCCTTCCGACAATTGCAGATGTACCTCAGAAAACTTTCACTTAATGTCTCATACTCTTCATGAATACTAAACCAATACGAAGTACAACAACATATATATGTAGGACTTATTTCTACCGTCACTTACATCGTAAAAATATCTCCTCTTCAATTTGAAATACTCTGCAATTTGAAATAAAGCCAATGNATGTAGGACTTATTTCTACTGTCATTTACATCGTAAAAGTATCTCCTCTTCAACTTACCAATGACAATCCTGATGATATCCTATATGCGTTCGTAAGCTTGCTAAAATACTACTGCGTTGATGTCCGCTTGTAAAAGCTGAAATCCAACAAATGCTTTGATCCATGCTACATCTCCGTGTTGGAAAAGCCCTTTCTTCTCCGTTCATGATAACATCTTACCCTCTTCTACGCAAATCTGTCACATATACTCTCAAACAAGACGCCAACTTCAAACGAAAACGCGTTCTACGAGGGCTCCTGGCCTGATGACGATGTCCATGCTCAGGTTTCTTTCCCCCGTGAACGGTGTCCCGCTTTCAACGTCGTGTTTGACGCGGAGGCCGTTGAGTGCTCTCGATAGTGCGTACTTTAACGGCTCGTGCATGTTGACCTGTGTTTCATCCCTTGGACAGGTCCTTGCGTACACCGTTGGGATGATCTCGCCCCCCTGCCTCTGTGGCACCTGGGACATGATACCGTAATCCGCTGGTCGCAGAGGTCGAGAGTTCGAATCCGGGGTGAATAATTTACGAAATTTGCGGGTGAAAGCGAAATATAGCTTAAAAGCNCGCAGAGGTCGTGAGTTAGAATCCCCATGGGGTGAAAAATTTACGAAATTTGCGGGTGAAAGCGAAATATAGCTACGAAGCTCTCGTGAGTACCAAACTTCGACGTTAGCACCGTTGACGAGGGAAAGGGACGGCTGGACCCTTCTCACGAAAAAAATTAAATTCAGCACGCACCGCAAGAGGAAGGTGGGGCATGAAAAGAAATAAAAAGAAGAAAAAAGCCCTGGTGTTTACCCCCTCCTGTGTAACCCTGGATGGTTGTAGTTGTACGAAAAAACACACTGAAACGTGTAGTACTCTACATACGCTGNAAAGGGACGGCTGGACCCTTCTCGCGATAAAAATCAAATTCAGCACGCACCGCAGGAGGAAGATGTGGCATGAAAAGAAATAAAAACAAGAAAAAAGCCCTGGTGTTTACCCCCTCCTGTGTAACCCTGGATGGTTGTAGTTGTACGAAAAAACACACTGAAACGTGTAGTACTCTACATACGCTGAAACGTGTAGTACACGTCTCACCGCGAAAAATGGGGGGACTGTCGCCATAATAAATAGGACGAAAACACACACACACCACACTACAGTCATCCCTCAGTTAAGGATAACTTGGATGTACGACACAAGGAGGGGTATCAACCTCAAGGACACTTCGCCGGCCATAAGACACATTTTTCACCGAAAAACCATGTGTGTGTGTCCTATACCGACGGACGACTTGATACCTGAACTATTTACTGAACGCTGCTATAATGCATGCATTGAATAAACATCACAAAGAGGAAAGAACGGAAAGTTAGAAACACTGACCGAGACGGACGTGAGACATCATGCCTGCGCGGCGTCTAGACCACGTACTGCAATAACAATCGATAAATCGTCCTCACAACTAAACGGGACCAACAACCGTGCCAACCTCTGTCGAAAGACGGTTTCCTTTCTTCCCAAATACATTCGGAGTAGAATACAGACGATGCCTACCTGGAGCAGTTTCGGGTGCCCCCGGCCGGGCATTCACCATGAGAGCGCCGCCGAAGCGCTTGAAAACGAAACACCCTATCCAATCAAATGCATTCGACGGCCTCCCTTTTGTCCGCCCACTGTTCAGGATGCAGGCCAAGTGCATGTACGAGCACACACACCCAATCCTTCCCCATCTACAAAGGCATACGGCACAACGAAAGGCAACATGTACACTACGTAATTTAGACTGGCTCGCTGGCAGCCCGGTGGGTGGGCGCTCAGAACTCCCGTCTCTGCCCAAGCATCATGCCGCGATGGCACAACACACCCCTCGAAGACGGATCAAGCGCCTTTAACTCTCCCTGCTGCATCAACCATGCCTCCTTTCCCGGTCGCACGCGCCGCCAGACTTCTTTTGTTCGTGTGATGGCGTATGTGGTCGGATCTGTAGACGAGATGACCGTTTCAGGTGCCCTGCACACAGGTATATGTCGGGTAGTACAATGATCGTGCGGAGCCCCCCACGGCAGCTGTCCTGCTGCGTGGCACTCCCTGGTCTTTGCCCCCAACCGGGTGTGAGAGATAATAAGCATCTAAACATCAAGCTCTACAGTCTCTACAAAGACAACAAGGACATACCACTTAGGGTTGACGACTACTCTAGAGTTTCCTTCGAAGGAGCCCCTTTGCATACATAATGCCTGGCGATACCCCAGCGAGCGATAGCGGCGGAACCACGATCGACACGCGCATGACGGAGCTGTCCAAGAGGCTCTAGGAGCAGAGCAAGGTGCTGTCGGCTGTCATGGAGGAGCTAGGGAAAAATCAGATGCCGCCTGCCAGGGCGGCGGGGGCAGAAGAGGGGGAGTCAAGCGGCGCTGGCAACGCCGCAGGGCGCAGAGGAGCCGCGCGGGGCACACGGTTTGGGGTGCCACCCGGTGGAGTCGGGGGAGTAGGTCCCCCGGGCCACCCATCCGCTGGCCCCCCGCTGGGAAGTACTGCGCAGGGAGCTTGGATGCAGGGGATGATGGGCCAGATGTCATCGCTGCTGCAGGCAAAGTCAGATTGCGGAAGCCGAGGGGGATCGGGCGGTGCTGGGAGACGCACCGCATCCTGCGGTGGGATTGTCGGAATCTCGCCGGCAGGCAGCTGCCTATCAGAGCTGCAAGCTGCGGCTGGCGTTAGAAGAGATGACGCCGCTGGAAGAGAGAGCAGCAGTAGATCAGGCACGGAAGGTGAACCGGTGCGGGCGTTTGACGCCCCTGCAAATGGTGGATTGGTGGGTTCCAGACCATCGACTTTCTCTGTACGGTTGGCAGCTCTAGCAGAGGCGCTGCTGGGGGTAGGTTGACTGCCCCGGGCACACGGAACGAGGTGTCAGGAGGTGGAGCCTGGAGGAGAATAATTCGGGGCCACACACATGAGCGACCTGTTGAGACCGGCCCAATGACAAGGCAGCAGAGGGGTGGTGGTGTCGGCGGTGGAGTAGCGGGCGGCACAGCACGCGAGCAAGCCTGCGATCGCGGGAAAAGTACGCGCTGGAGAACTGGAGGATTGCAGCCACGGCGATTCTTGTGAACGCGGAATTGCCGCAGAGGAGCAAGGGCGAGACCGCTAAATCTGCTGTGCTTGTGAACGAGGGCCAACAACAATGCGGTGTTGCCGCGGGGCGCTTCTTTCTAGTTGAGATTCGTGGTAATACTTTGAAGTATTGAATGATTTTGCTTGTGACGAATAATATCGAAAGTTTCTACAGGGGATTCGCGGGTTAAGGCGTTTTCATTTTCTGATTTGGTGTTTGTAGAGTGATGGTAGCTTCGCTTACGATGATACGACCAATGATGATGTTCGAAAGGAGATTCGCGGTTCAGGCGTTTCCAATCTTGAGTGTGGGTGTTTCGTTGAACAAATGTAGTTCGTCTTTTTCAATGGTAAAGTCCAGGCGTGTTATCGCGGGTGTTTCGTACGACGATGGTAATTCGGCTCCGAAAACCAGTCACTCTATGATGGGGATTCGCGGTACAGGCGCTTCCATTTCATGATGTCCGCGGGCGATGAAAGCTTTGTCTGGAGCAGAATAAGGGCCGTTCTAAACACGCCAAATAATTTTCCAAACTTCCAAAGTTCCGAAATATTTGGAACTTGTGTGTAGGCGTTTGTCCAAACTTTTCAAAATAGTTTGGAACGAAGTGGGGCCAGACAGTTTGGCGCCAGTTCGTTCCAAAGTTTGGAACTCTTTTTGGACACTTTTCCAAACTACAGTGCAGAGCACGTGAGGGCTGCAAAGTGTTGAACCACGAGTTCCCCTCGCAACAGAACGCCAGCTAGGGTTGTTCTTGGGTGATGGCTGACCGTAGAAAGCGGGGCGTGCCTGCAGATTCGGCGGGCCGTCCTCGCCCGCCGGCACGAACAAGGCACACAAACAATGCCGATGTGCTGAGGAAAATGAAGGCTGTGGCGGCAATAGTGCTGGTGCTGACTGTAGTTACAACGACGGTTTGGGAAGTGGTGGACGCGATCAACAACACGCCGGAGGTCGGGGCGTTCTTTTCACCTCAGACAAGGGATGATTGCGCCCGGCAAGCGAAGGAGTGGGAGGTGGGTAAAACGTGTGTGTGGTATTTTTTTCGTGTTTATCCGATTGTGTCCTCATCATGGATGACTTCACCGCCTACTTGTACCGCGCCCTCGTTTTTTTTCGGTGAGGCAGGTATCTTTCCTGCCATCGCGAAGACAAGCGTTAACTTCATATAGTGTCGTGTTTTGTTTTGTACTCTTCCTTCAGCAACAGCATTCGGCCATACTCCTTCTTCAATCGAAACCCGAAGCACGTGGATTCCATCTCGTGTCACCCACCCGGTTGCGCTATCGCCCCCGGCCTTGTTTCCGACTGCAACATAGTACAGCGAGAGGCAACGAGTTGAGTTCCCCAGATTGAGTTGTGGCTCATCTCGTGTAGCAGAAAACTTCNCATGGATGACTTCACCGCCTACTTGTACCGCGCCCTCGTTTTTTTTCGGTGAGGCAGGTATCTTTCCTGCCATCGCGAAGACAAGCGTTAACTTCATATAGTGTCGTGTTTTGTTTTGTACTCTTCCTTCAGCAACAGCATTCGGCCATACTCCTTCTTCAATCGAAACCCGAAGCACGTGGATTCCATCTCGTGTCACCCACCCGGTTGCGCTATCGCCCCCGGCCTTGTTTCCGACTGCAACATAGTACAGCGAGAGGCAACGAGTTGAGTTCCCCAGATTGAGTTGTGGCTCATCTCGTGTAGCAGAAAACTTCGAGGATACAGAAGGAGGGAGAAGCGAGGCCTCGAGAAACTAAGCAACCTGGTCCCATGAATATCTTCTTCCGGTCTGCGAACCACATACAACCACCGCAGCGATCTCAGATCCATTTCGTTCTTACTGAGTGGAACGACCGAAGAGCCCATTCGCCTGCATGTCTATCCAAGCCGTGGTCCGACTCTCTTCAAAACCATCGCTGATGGCCCGCGCCCCACCTCCCACCGCCGCCGGCTCTCTTGTCGCCTCTTGCCGACTCTCTTTTTCCGGAACACTCATCCCTCCCTTGCAGGCCAAGAGCACCGGCGGGATATTCTCCGGTTGTGTTGTTGCTGGAGATGGCCTGTTCGTCAAGACCATCGCCCAGTCTCCGGTGGATACCCCGAACGTGCTCTCCTACTTTTCCGGGAACAAGAGTGGGTCCGAGTTGAACATCCAGGCGACCTGTGACACCTATTCGATATACTCGTAGAAAAGCATGGGGGTGGTATGTTGCGTATACATATGCGGGATTTGCAGTGACGAACTACGGAGGAACAAGAAGTTTCTTGATGTTTTCCTTGGGAGTGTGGTAGATTGGTGGACATTCATGGAGATTCGTTTTGGGTATTTGAGCNTGACACGTCGTCTACGAGATTCGCGTCGAGCTTAGTTTGGAGTATCGCTTTGCGGCGATCAGCAGCTGTCACCGATGTCCAGCGCCGACCAAGAACGAGGCGCCCGTCACGCAGAAGACGAGGACGCCCGCATCAACGAGTTGGTGGAGATGAGGGTACAACAACGACTGGCCGACATAAGGCGGCGACAAGACGAGGTGGAGCAGAGGACAGAGAACGTCCGGACCGGAAGCGAGCACGAGGCACGCCACCAGCAACAAGCGGGGCGGCCATCGGCGAACCCGGCCGTAGATGACATCGCCCGCACTCTCGCCGACGC